GGGAGGGGCTGAAATGGCTCCACTCAGCCGAAAAGTTTGGGCTTGGGGGGTGGGGTTGTCCGAGACCCACACTCTGGAGCAGGGCTCACTCCCCTCCACCCTCCCCCTCTCCGTGGCCTCTCCCAGGCCTCTGCCTGCAAGCAGGACCTCAGGCTGATGGATCTCCCATGGCCGTGACGTGGGCCGGGAGGTTCCCTACCCAGGATCGCAGCCTGAGCTGGGTGCACAGCCCTCTTTTGGGAGAAGGGTTGCTGCTCAGGCATGCTGATCTGCCCCTGAAGGCACACACTCCTCAGCAGGCTCTTTCACAGATCTCCCTTCTGTGCCTTGGGGCAGTGCAATTGTGACTTGGGTGTATGGGGTCTGGTCTGCAGGCCTGTCCCCTGGGCCCTCAAGATCAATCCCTGACCCTGCCAGGGGAGGGGAGCTGGTCTTGAATCACCTACAGGGTGCCCAAGCTGGATCTATTTCACTCCACCTTGGGATTTGCCCCACTCTCCTGGAGTCTCCAGGCAAGTAGCACCTGGGAGGGCTGGTGGGTAGGGAGCTCGCAGTCTGAGTACCCCTCAGTCTTATATAGGGCCCCAAAAGGAAAGGTCTGGTTCCTTGGAGATGCCTCCGTGTGATGGTTAAATTGTCTCTCTGGGCACCCATGGGTAGGGAAAGGGAAGGAGAGAATGGAGCAATATGGCATCTGCCGACAGGCTCGGGTCTGCCCATGGGGATGTGCCCGAGGGAGCTGGGAGCCCGGCGCCATGTCCGCAAGAGGCCACCGCTCACTGGCGGCAGCTGTCTCTGGACTGGTGTTGGCAGGTCTCTCCAGCTGCTCAAGAGCCCACCAGCAGTCTGAGATGCAAGGGAGGGGAAAGTTATCTGCTCCACCTACCCTTGTCGCTGGTCTCCAAGCCTCTCGCGACCTTTCTCCTTCCAGTTCTCCTCAGTGTCTTCCCGTGGAGTCTCCTGTAGTTTCAGGCACCCTTCCTTCTGTCCCTCACCTGATCTATGTTTCTCTGCTAGTTTATTTTTTTCACTTTCTTCTAAAATCTGTCTTTTTTGCAGAGACCTTCTGACTGGCGGCTTTTCTCGTCCGCCATCTTGGATCCTCCCTCTCTTCCAAAAACCAATGACTTTTGTACAGCCATTCTCACAGTAGCATCATTCACAATAGCCAAAGTGTGGAAACAAGCCTTACATGGATTAATGGATAAATGAAACCTGGTCTATACATTCCATGGAATGTCACTCAGCTTTAAAAAGAAAGTTCCTTCTGACACATGCTGCAAAATGGATGAACCTTAAAGACATTACGCTAAGTCAAATAAGCCAGCCACAAAAGGACAAAGATTGTATGATTCCACTTATGTGAGGTGCCTGGAGTCAAATCCATAGAGACAGAAAGTAAAGTGGCTGCAAGCGACTGGGGAGGAGGGAACAAGAAGTTATTGTTAACAGGTGCAGAGTTTCAGTTTTGCAAGATGAAAAGAATTCTGTGTACAAATGGCAGTGATGGTAACACAATGATGTCGGTGCACTTAAAGCCACTGAACTGTTACTTAACAATGGTTAACGTGGTAAATTTTATGTTAAAAAATATTCATAAAAATCAACTCTTAGAGGAAGAAGAAATTTTATTGCCTCACACATGGGGAGGGCTGGGGAAGAGTCAGGAGCATCCGGTGTGACTGAATCCAGGGCTTCGTCCCCATGGAGCAGTGATGATCAAGATACATCCTCTGAAATTCCAGCATTTCTCCCCCAGCACAAAATATTCCCAAGGACAGACTGTGCTTGGCCCAGCTTGTGTCACATGCTTATCCTGCCCAAACCAGTCCTATGCCAAGGGAGGTGCCAGGTTCATGCTCCTGGACAGCCCCAAGCAATGGCCACCATAGTGGCTAAGGAGACTGGATCCTAGCAAGAACCTGGAGCCATGGGGAGAAGATGGAAGGGAAAATCTGTCTTCATGCTCCAGGGAGAGGCACAGGAGAAAGGGAGCAGAGAACTTCCATGGCCTGGAGCCAGAGAAAACTTAGGAGTGACCAGGAAGTGGCCATGGCATTGTGACACCCAGGAGAGGACATCTTGATGCCCAGGAGGACTGGGGCATGTGAGACAGCAGGGCCTAGAGACTCTGCGGGCGATGGCTGCCACTGGGGAGACATCCTCAAGGGAAGAGCGACTGAAGGCTTTCAGAACAGGTGGTTTAATATTGAACGTGAAGCTGTTTGCCAGACTCACAGCAAATCCCCATCCATCATCTGCTGATCGCTACTTAAGCCTGATGCACGGGTTAGTGTGAACGAGCTATTCGGGAAACCCCGGGAACCGAATCCATCTGAAGGGATGTGAGCTGGGGCCGTGTTGCACGTGCAGAATGGAGCCATAGTCCATGGAACTAAGGCCACTTAGCCCATGAACTAAGGCAGTAAAAAGGAGCTCAGGGCCACAGGGGACCATGACATTGTAAATCTTCAATGCCTGCTCCCCACCCCAACTTTCCAGGAAATTTTCAGAAATCTCAGGGAAAACATTGGACTTTCCAGAGGGTTGAGTCATCGTCTACAGATCCTAAAGGACAGAGACACCCCGGCTGCCATCTGGGTCACATTTATATAACGCCCATTTTCTCCTTGATTTTGCCAACCACCATGTTGCTAACTAACCTTTATACTTTTCAGAGATGTAACCACAGCTTTTGGTGAAGGCAGCTGTTTGTAAGGCAGTAGGGAGCAGCGCGTAAGGGCAGGGATTCCAGAGCCAGACGTCTTGGGTTTGGATCCCAGCCGTGCCACTCAGTAACTGTGTGACTTTGGACAAGTTGTTTCACCTGAGCGTCAATCGATTCATCTACAATATTCTACTGCTTTGGGGAGAATCAAATATAGTACCACATATAAAGTGTGCAGAACAATCCACATGGTGCTTGTCCTCAGCTTTTACCTAAGGTGCTCCCTCAGTGGCCAGCATGGGGGAGGAACTCCATAATCAGGAACAGTGACCATTCTGAGGAGGCCCATGGGTTCCCTGACCTCTGCTCTAACCTACCCAGAGCCCTGTGTGTCTTGGCTTCTGGAGGGGCAGAGTCCCTTTCTCAAGCCACCCCAACTCCCACCTGCCCTTCATTTCTCTAGATCATACAAGCAGCAGGTAAGCACCAGGTGGGCGGTACCATTTGTGCTTTCTCCATGGAGGTGGAGACGGTTCAGTGCAATCCTCTCTTCTGGAATAAATGACCCCACACACAGACCTATTACTGCTAGGAGAGGAGAACTGTCCTCTCAAAGGGAAGACAGGATTTTATTGAGTATACTCTTTGCAACAGGAAATTAGGTGTTGCTGTGGAGGTGGTAGGGACAGAAACACCCCTGAACTTGGGGCTGCGCTTGAGTGAGGCAGGCAAAGTTTTAGGGGTTCCTCAGCTCTCTGCCATTGGCTTCGACGTTTTCTCCTCCATGTCCTGGCTCGAAGGCATCCGGAGGACTTGTGCTTTCCCAATGTACTCTGGGGGAAGGGGAGAGACAGCAGGCAGGGGAGGATGAGGAAGGGCTGGGCCAGGCCCCTAACTGGGAGCTGCCTGGGAGCCCCAGCAGATCACTTCTCCCGGAAAGGCCTAGGTGGAGGTGCGAGCACATGGGGGAGCCCGAGTCAAGCCCAGGTTCTGCTCTCGGCTCTGCTGGTGACCTGGGACGAGCAGATTCCCTTCTCTGAGCTTCACCACCACCCACTCTTCTTTCAGCATCCAGGTAACAGGTATCAATGAAGTGTCTACTCTATGCCAGACACTGCCAGGCACTCGGGACCCTCAACAGTCTAATGGGGAGAATAAGGTACATGGAGGATGTATTTCCTCTTCTCTCCCCTCCAGCCTGCGGCGCCCTTACCCAGCTCTGGTCTAAGGCACCAGGATGAATGCACGGCCTCTCCCTGGTGTCCCGCCACCCCTACCTTCTGTGTGCAGTCCATGCTCCACACAGCAGCCAGAGGGGCACACCCGCCCTGCTTGCCACCCTCCCGTGCACCCATGCTCTCTGCGAGAGCCACACACCTGGCCCTTCCCACAGGCCAGCCCCTTCCACCCATCTCATCGCACCTCTCACCACTGTCCCCACCCAGAAGGCCTTGGCCACCCTCGCCCGTTTGCCCTTCCTCCACCACGCCAGGCCAGGGGATGCTGCTTGGAGGCTCTTGCTAGACCTGCCGAAGGCTGCCGCTCAAGGAGCCCTCTCCCCACCTGCCAGTCCTCCTCTCCACCTGCCACACTGCCCTGCCTTGTTTGCTTTGCGGCACCCATGCCCCTCGGGTGCTTTTATCTGTTGTCTGCTCTCGTCACTAGGATGTAAGCTCCGTGACCGCAGGAACATGTCTGAATTCTTCCCCAGCAACCCCCAAAGCCCAGCATATTGTAAGTACTCAACAAATATTTGTTGAACAAATGAATTAATGAATGAGGGAACTGAGCAGCTTCCCTGGGCAGGGACCCAACTCCAAGTTGCCTTGAATACCCTGAGAAATGCAGCCAGAGTGGGCCTCGGTGGGCCCTGAGAACCACCCCCTGCGTGGAATCCTACCTGGCTTTTCGCTTTTTGCTACAGGCGGTGTTCTCATCTTCTTTGGGGATTGACTACAACCAAATACAAAGGAGAGGCTGGGAAGGTCATTCTGGAAACCTACCCCTGTGGATGACAGGGAGGGCTGGGAGGTGAGGAAGTGGCGCAGGGGCAGCCAGCCGCCTGCTCCAGGGAGAGACAAGAGTCATCCCTCCTGGAGAACCAGAAAGGGTCTGTCCGTGGCTGGCACCCAGGTGGCCTTCCTGCATCACCCCAGGCAGGACTCAGACAACAGTGGCTCCACTGCCTGCTGCGGCCACTGGGAACCAAGACCCTCCTGTCCCTGGAGCCATAAGGGGACGGCCACTGCACCAGCCCTCCCCCAGCCCCTCACTGGGGAAGGTCATTCACTTGTTCCTGAGACTGTTTTCTCATCTGTCAAATGGCGTGGGTTGTGTGGACTGGAAATGTGTAAACTGCGCAGCACTGTCAGGCAAACATACGGGCACTCGGTATTGCCGGTCACCTTGCTGACGTTCGGGCTCCACTCACTTGCTTGTGAGGCCTTCGAGCCACCAGGGCACCTAGTACTGGTGTAAAGGTACCTTCGGCTGCCTGTGTCTTCCCACAGACCGAGGGCTTCGGGAGGGCTAGATGCGGCTCACCCAGCCCTCCCTGGTTACAGCTGACACCAGCAACCGCCTCGGCACCCCCACAGCCGGCAGCGGGTGAGGGGCTGGTCTGGCTGCCTGGCCTTCCAGCAGCACGGGCAGAACTCGGTGGGGCGGCTGGGGGAGGAACTGGGCCTCTTCCTCCAGGACTGGCCCCATCAGCCCAGCCTCTGGCCAGCGCCAGGCTCCCTTCTCGGGCCCCCTTGGCCCCACCTGGGAGGCCAGGTGGCTGAACGCGAGGGAGCGGTTCCTGAGGGGCAAGTGAGGGGTGCGGAGCCCACCTGTAGGGAAGCTGCTGGTTTTCCTGGGGAGATTCTTGAACTTCTTCGAGCTGGTGCAGGAGTCTTTCCGCAGGAATGGAGGCCAGGGGCTGGGGCAGGAACTGAGCCACGGCTGTCTGCAGGAGTCCCAGGGCGAGGTCTTTCTCTGCAAGCACAACCCCGGCGGGGCAGAGTCCTCAGCCCCCAGCCCCCTTCCTGTCCTGGACGGAACAGCCCCCCAGCTCTTGCCTAACCCTGGTAAGGGCAGCTTTCTCTCACCATCCCACACTCTGCCCACAGGTCCCTGCGGGCGAGGTCGGTCCCTGCTTCTCTCCCGGCCCCTGTGTGCGCAGAGCGCCCGGCCCTCCCACGTCCTCCTCCTGCCACACACAGCATGTGTGTGCCTCGTTCTTGGCCCCACCTGGCCGTCCTGCCTCTCACACCCCCGGCCCCCTCTGGGAAGTGGGATCGCATTCCTCCTCCTCCTCCTTTACGCTCCTGTGCAGGAGTCTTCTCCAATTAGCCTCCTCGTTCTCATCACTCCTCACCCCCCACTTGGGTGCACCCTCTGCCCACGTGGATGCCAGGGTGCATCTGCATGTGCATTCATGTGCTCGTGTGCACACGTGTGCGTTCTCGTGTACTTGAGCCTGTGTGTGTGTTTCTCAGTAGTGTGTGAGGGGCCGTGTCTGCTGAGCAATCTTTGAACTTCTCCATCCCGGGTGCCTAGACCTGGGGTCAGCATGAAGGAGGAGTCCCCTGCAAGGAGCAGGGCCACAGAAATTCTGCTGAGGAAAGCGAGAGGAGGAAGCAGTGACACTGTCCGGCTAGGAAGGGTTAGTTCGGGGCTCCGAAACAGAGGAGACGCCCCAGTGGAAGGCCCTGGGTGGGAGCTGAGTGACATCTGAGTCCTGCAGAACCAGAGAGCAAGGGCAGGACTTTGGCAGCCTCCATGCAGAGAGGAGGTCATGGGGCTGTGTCCTCACCCTTGGGGGGAGCGTAGAGCAGCCAGAACTGGATGGCGCTCAGTGAGTCCGTCTGCAGGATCTGACAGAGGAGCTCCAGGATCTGTGGGCAGGAGGATGACATGTTCCAGTCAGTAGCACAAGCAAACGTGGGTTCGGAGGGCACCAAGGAGCCCCTCCCCGCAAAGTGGGTTCCCAGAGCCATGAGCTTGGCTAAACTTGTCCCCGTGATGGTCCCTGCCTCCCCTCTGCATTGGACTTTGTCTCACATCAGTCCTGGAGGAATATTCTTAACCTCCCTGCTGGACAAGTGAAGATTCAAGGCCTTGAGAGAGGAGGACACCCAGCAGGGAGTCTGCAGCAGAATGAAGCCTCAGATGACAGACATGCGGACCCCTTAACCCCAGAGCCTGCTTGGGCTGGCTGGACCCCAGGGCCCCTCCCTGGGAAGGCCAAGTCAGGGCTGGACGGTCAGCTCCTTGGAGACCCACCGAGTCCCACATGCCCTGGTCCTTGGTGAACAGATGTCAGGAACCCCACAGGAATCCCCACCCTGAAGCTCCCGGAGTCTGGAGACTTTAGCAAGGAGGTGGGGGAGTCCCAGGGGGGTGCCTGAGGGTGAGTGCTGCCTGGTCCTTCCAACTGCTCATCTTGGGGCTTCTTCCTGCAGAGCAGCGGGTACACTTGGCTCCTAGCTGCATTCTCAGCCTGCGACATCTCTGGTACTTCAGGGCTCATTTTCCCCTGCATTCTCCACTCAGGTAGCATCAGGGAAAGATCCAGCTCTGACTCAGATGGGTAATGGGGGCTCCCTAGGCCAGCAAGTCCATGGCGGTTGCGGCTATGGCTGGCTGGAGTTGGGGCTCGAGGTGGGAGGTAGAGCCCCCAGAGTCCTAGGAAAGTGGGGTCCCCTCAGCACTTGGCGGTTAGTCTTCCCAGGACCTGGAGGGGCCTGTCAGTCCCCAGAAGATCTGCCTTGTCTTTGGTAGAGTGGAAACTGGGCCGGCCCTCTCCCCAGGACTGTGCCCGCTTGGGGTCCCACCCTGACCCCCAGGTACCCACCCACTGCAGTGACCCACCCTGATCTGCCCCTAGACCCTTCACCGTTCTCCGCATCCAACTTACCTGCCCTGTGCCCCCTCCCCACAGGGCCCGAGAACCTAATTCCAGGCAAGGTGAGGCTGCCCTATGGTGGAGAAAGCACCTTAGTCCTGGCTATGCTGCTGCTTCTCTAGGGAACCTGGGCCATGGATATCAACCGGCAGGGCCTCAGCCTCCCCATCTGTGGCATCGGGGTGCTGGGCCCTGTCTGCTCTATCCACTTTGCTGCACTGTTGTGAGGCTCCAAAGCGACTGCATGTCCGAAAGTGCTGGTCACGAGGAAGGCGGCAGGATGCTGGCTCTACATATGACCTTTAGCGTGCATTTTAACAGGGGCCTCCAACGCCTTAACCCGCTGGAGCAAGGCATGGACTCATCTCAGGCCTCCATGGGGAAACTTGAACATGGAAGAGTGGGCTCTGCGCTCACAAAAGCACAGGCAGGCCCCTCTCAGAGCGTGGAGACCAGGCTGGGCCTCGCCTGGTGGGCTGTGGGGCGCAGCCTGCCGGGGTATGGTTTGAGAGCACACGGGGCAGGCCCACCTTCTCCACGCTTCTCAACCCACCGTTGCAGCTTCCTTCCTTCCCTCCTCAAAAGCCACAGCTGGAGCGGACCTTCCATGGCACTGTGTTCATGCTCCCAATTTGGGTCGATCATGGAACCAAGGCCCAGAGAGAGGCTCACCCAGCAACCTAGAGGCAGCAGGGCATCCGAGCCCAGGCTGCCGACTCCCAAGACTGGGAATTCCCGTCTTACAGTGTTCGGTGCCAGTGTTTCTGGGAGAGGCCATACCCTAAAGCAGCCTGTGAGCGTCCAGGCTGGAAGAGCTGGGAGCCCGGGAGCAGAAACTGCCGCAGTGTCTGCTCGCAGGCCGGGGCCTCACCAGCAGCTCCTGATCCTGCAGGATGGCCTGGACCCCTCCGTCTCTGCTGGAAGGCTGGCTCCGCTGGCCCTGGCGGGAGCTGCGGCAACCACCCACTCGGGTGGAAGGGGGGATGAGCCTACCAGTCTCGGCCGAGTACTTGGCCCCCTGCTCCCGCAGAGTCTCCTCCTTCTGCTGGGACAAAAGTGGCCATAGTCCCCAGGCAGCCAGTTATGGGGGAGGGAGAAGGCAGAGGGGAAGAGACAAGGAGTCTGGGTCACACCTCCAGGGCACCCCCCAAATCCCAGAGTCACAGCCTTGCCAGGAACCCTAGATCTCATCTAGGCCACCCCCACCCTGTCCTGGAACTCTTTTTGAGGTCCCCCGATACTTCCACTGTCGGCTGTTCTGTTTAAAATGGCAAAAGCTCTTCCTCCCAGAACTCAGCAATGGAGGGCTGAGTGCTGGGTACCCCCTGGCAGTCACTGCCCTTCCTCCCAGGCAGATCCTTGGTGCTGCCCCTTCCCCAGCTGGGCAGTGGGCAGCGGGCAGTGCGACCTTGATACCTAGCTCAACTGCCCCCAGACCCACCCCTGCAGCTTGGCATCCTTTCTCTGCCCTGGGAAGCCAGGCCTCTGGGCACCAGACATGGAGCCTCCTGCCCTTGCAATTTCAGTAAAGCCTGACAGTATTCTTCCCCCCATTTTAAAGATAAGAAAACTGAGGCCCAAATAGCTTGGCTGAGTTGCCCCGAGTGCTGTTGTGAGTGAGCTGCGAGCAGGAGTGAGGAGCCAGGCCTCTGCCTCTCCACCGCGGGTGCCCAAGACATGTGGCAGGACCAGACTCAGCTGAGAAGGGCCAGGCTGTCCTCAGACCAATTCCAGCCACCTTCGAGCTGCCTCCCAGTTGTCTCAACTGCTTTATCACCAAACGGCACCCATGGGGTCACCCCATCCTGTTTGAAAACCTTCACTGATTCTCCACTCAAATTTGGAAATTCACGGCAGGCTCCTTCTCCCCACCTGCAGTCAGCCTCCTCCCCTTCCCCACTCTGCCGTGTGCACCTGGTCTCTAGAGATGGCCTGTGCTCGCCAGCTACTGAGCTGCTGAGCTGCTGAGCTGCTGAGCTGCTGCTGCTGCCTGGAACACCCCCCTAGTATGCACGTGAGCAGTCCGTTTAGATATCGGAGGCCCCCGAATGCCACGTCTCCTGAGAACCCTGCTTGGACGTCTCCACCCAGGTGTGCTCTCCCCTCACTGTGGCCCTCCTCCCTGGGGTCTGTATTCACTGGCCCCCTCCCCGCACTGTTAGGTTGAACCCACTTGGGAGGGATCTTGGTACAGAGGGGTGGATCCATCCCTTCTCTTCCCAGAGCAGCTCCTGTGTTCCGCACCCACCTCTTTGTTCTTCTGCTGCTCATTCTCCTTGGTGAAGAAGGCCACCCGGGAAGCCAGCTCCTTCAGTTCCCTCTTCCAGGTCTCTGGGAGAGGGGGAACAAGATCCTGCCCACTGACATCTGGGGCCCACCCCCCTCCCTGTGGCACTGGGAGTGGGTGGAAGAGTCAGTGCCCCTTCCTGCCCCATCATAAGGGAAAAGGGGTGGTGCCCTTGAGGGAGAAGGGTCAGAAGTCACACCATGGGTGAGGGCTACCTCCTTTCTAGAGGGGACGAATGCCAATGTCATAGCCTGTGGCATTACCAAGAGATGCTGGAGAACATTTGGCTGCCTGTGCCAACATGAGTGTGGTTTAATTTAGCTTTGCCTCTTTGGGTCCCTGAAGCCAGGCCTGAGGTTCAGTGGACATGGCTGGGCCTATTATTAAAATGTTGAACTGCTCCCCAGAGAGGTTGGCAAAAGTGCCCCACCTCCCTGCCCTGCACGGGAATATCACTGGCCCCTTCCCCAGGGTGCCCCCTGCCCCCAGCAACTGACTTTCCTGCACCCCAGTAACAGAAGGGGTAAGGCTTGGTGGAGCAGAGGCCTCTGGGACACTTCTCCAGCTCCGCGGCTGAGTGTTCTATTGGCCGGTGCCTGAGCACACACGCCGCTAAGTATCTTAAATGGCATTCCTGCCCATAGCGGCAAGTCGTGCGACCGCAGCCACAGAATCTGCTTGTCCTCTGCTTGTTCTTACTCCTCAAGCCCCTCAAATCCAAGCGGGGTGCGTTTCTGAGGGCCAGGACCTGGGGGTGGGGGTAATGTAGAGATGAGGCTGCCCCAGGAAAGAGGGAGAAAGTGAGGCTCCTCCCACAGACTCCACCCACCCCAAAGCAACGGCCTTTTGCTTCTCATGCACCTGCCCAAGGGAGGCAGCCGTGGGGAGAGGTGTGAGCCCCAGGGTGTGGCCCTCGTACGCACCAGAAGAAAGCTGGGGATTCCGGTTGGACTGTGGGTCTCCGATGGGGACAGAGATGGTGGGCACCCCCATCAGGCAGCTGGATAAGAGTGTGGACTGAGGCAAGGGACCCAGAGAGAACTCGTCCCTGACGACACAGACAGGCTTCCCGGTGAGATCTGCGAAGGGTTAGAGGGTGTGGGAAGAGAGGCCTGGCTGGACCCCAAGAGTGCCAGGAGGCCAGAAAGAGGCTGGTGGGCAGGGAGAGCTCCGGCTCCACTTCTGATAACCACGAGCACGAAGACTGTCAGAGCTGCGAGGGCCCCTGCGACCGCCTAGACCAGTAACCACCCTACTTACAGGGGTGCTTAGAATGGACGGGGGAAGGGACCTGCTTGGGGACACACAGCAAGCTGGGCAGAGATGGGACAAGAACCCAGGCTTCCTGGGACCCTGGTCCTAAGCACCTTTTGATTTCCTATGGCAGAGCAGCGATTTTCAGCTGTGAGCACACAGGGCTAGGCAGCTTAAAGACGAGGATGTTAAGTCACTGTCAGTGCTGGGAGAGGCCTGGGCCCGAGTCACAGGGACAGAGACTGAACCAGACCGTCTGGAGAAAACGTTGGCTCTGTCGGCCTGTGCAAGGCTGTGTGTGGCACAGCCTGGTGGGGGGAGGGCAGTTGACATGTGAGGACCCTCTGGCCTGACCCTGGGAGATTGTTACATCGTTGTCGACAGTTAGGCCTTGAGGACCAGCCCTGTTAGGACACGGTTGCTCCATCCTCCCTGAAACCCTGGTGCCAGGACCCCTCACTCCCTGGGTTTCTCCTCACTCACTGCCTCTCATCTCCTCTGCAATTTCTTCTCCTCCCCTCAACCTCTTAACCCTGGGGGTCCCAGGGCCCAGTCCCCAGATTCTTTCTCCTGTATCCTCGGGGACTCCGGAATGATCCCGCCCAGACACGCCACTTAAGATACCAGCTGTCCTCAAATGGTTCTCATGCTGGTATCTCTGCCCTCAACCCCAGAGCTGACCTGGAAGTCTAAAAGATATCTCACACTTCACCTCTCCCACGTCCAAGACCAAAGCCCCGATCCCTCCCTCGCCCTGCACTGGGCCCTCTGAGGGCTTCTTTGTCTTCACCAACACGCTCCAGTTTTCCAGCCACGCCGGCCGAGAACCCTGGCGTCAGCCTTGGCTCCTCTTCCTCTCGCACTCCTGCTTAATCACATCCTGTTGGCTTTACCTTCTACACATGTCTAGAATAGAGCCAGTGAGTATTCTGCTTCTGTTCCCCTGGTCCAAGCCATACCCAAGACAGAGGCAGGGTGACCTTGTTAAAACGTCTAACTTCTGCCACTTCTGTGCTCTCAACCTTCCAATGGCTCCATTCAACTCAACGAGGAGGCCCAATGGTGACAACAGTGGCCCACACAAGAGTGGCCTGCACAGCCTACCTGATCTGGGCCCGCTGCCTCCCTGATGTCTTCCGTTTTCTCCCCCTCCTACTCTGCTCCAGCCTGGCTGGCTTTGGTGCCCTTGCTGTTCCTCCAGCAGAGCCAGGGCACTCTTGCCCCTGGGCCTTTGCATCTGCTGATCTGTGAGCCTGAGACAGACTTCCCCCTGCTACACCACAGCTCCCACACTCTCTTCCTGTAGTTCTTTGCCCAGATGTCACGTTATTGGCCAGGTCTTCCACAACCACCTTTTAAACACAGCAGTCTCCCCTCTGCAGCCTGGGCACGTGGCATCTTATCCGCTCCCGTCCCTCCCTACTAGAGGTCAGCTCCAGGAGGGCGGCCACTGTGTCTGTCTTGTTCAGTGTCATATCCCTGGGGCCTAAAAAATGCCTGACTCATAGTTTACACTCACTAAATATTTGATGCATGGATGGCTGAGTGGATGGAAAGGCCTCAGAGGACAGAGCACAGGTCCGGGCAGAACATTCATCCCCTTCTCTGGTTTGTAAACTGGGAAAACCCAGCGGTGAGGGGATCCTGTAGGGCTGTAGTCCCCAACCCACTGGTCCGTGGCCTGTTAGGGACCAGGTCACAGAGCTCTGCCAACCCGACTCCCATGCCACATCCGTGGAAAAAATTGTCTTCCATGAAACCAGTTTCTGGTGTCAAAAAGGTTGGGGACTGCTGCTGTACGGGACCCACCATCAGCCCTTGGTCCTGTGCTTCTCTCCCACCCCAAGCCGAGTCCTGGCGTGGGCACTTACTCGGCAGCTCTGGGATGCTGGCCAGGCCCCCATGTTCTCTGGGCCCTGGCCTGGAAACAGGGACTGAAGCCAATACTTCCTCCCCAGTTCTCAAGACCCATTAGTGATGCCGCCTCTGCCGCCGCCCAGCCAGGCCCTGGCTGACCCACCGGCCCCTACCTGGGATGTGGGTCACACGCTGGGAGTGGGGGTGGTGCCTGGAAAAGAAGGAGTGGTGGCTGAGGCGGCCAAAGCGGTAGGTGCCAGGGGTCTGGGCCTTGGGGGTCCTCAGCGCCTCTCGGATCAGCTCGAAATCCACGATGCCTGGGATCACCAGCTCCTTCTGTGGCCCGTCTTCCCCGTGGCTCTGTGGCCTCTGCCCCGGCTTCTTCTCGGGTTTCGGCTCTGCCTTTGGACTGAAGGAGAGGGTTTAAGGAGACACTAAGGCAGCCTCCCCTGGCAGTGGTGCCCACCCGGACTCAGAGCTCAGTGCTTATGACAGAGTCCATTCCTGAGGCACCCTGAAATCTGGCTTCCTGGATTTCGCCACCACCCCCTTGACCCCCAAAGCTGGGCCTCCCCAGGGTCCTCTCACGGCTGGTGCAATTCAGTCCCCCTGTCTTCCTAAGATGCCTTAGCTGGGAGCTAGGATTCATTTGCAGGAACTCAGATGGACTGTCCCAGGACCCCAGTTTTCTCCCAGAGACCATATCTAAAACAAGAAAGAGAAGCCACAGACCCATCTCCTCATCCAAACACCTGGGGTGGAGCGAGGGTACCTTATATACACCTCCTAGGGCCAGGGGGCTGACCCTAGCAGGGGCCTCTCCCCAAGCCAAACTGTTGACAGCCCAGGAGAAGACAGCTATGGGCTGTCACCCTCCCCCCATGCCCTCAGGCGCAGTCTTGGCCCACACTCATTGGCCAGGGGCCAAAGCTGGAGCATAGGCCAGACCAGGCCAGCGCCCGCTTTCCCGTGGGGTCCCTCGTGGGAGGTGTGGAGCTAAGGGGGCAGCTAGCAGGGCTGTGACGCTGCAGGGAAGCTTCAGCCTCCCACTCTTCTCCACTGGAGACAAGGTTCTTGGGTTTTCCATCCTCACCCTGCACCCTCCCCGTCCTGAGGAGTGTGTCTCTGCCTAGAAGTGGTTGAGGCCACTCCCCACCTGCTGGGACCTGCTGCGACCACCTGCCTGGTCACTGTCTGCACTCCCTTCTCCCAGTGGCCCTGGCTGAAGGGAGTCCCTCTGGAGGAGTTCCGGAAACGCTAAGCAAGGTGTGCTGCCCCCGGACCCTGTGAGGACTTCGCTCACCCAGCCCCTGAGTCTGTTCCATTCTCGGGTCACCTGTAAGAAATCTGGGACTTAAAGAAACGAAGTAAACCTTCTCTGAAGGTTGCAGCTAGCTGGCCTCCTCTACTCGCTTCTAACAGAGGAAGTCACCTCCTGAAAACCCCCAGAATTCCTGTGCTCAGTGCTCCTGGCCCCTGCTTGCATCTGCTCCCTACCCAGGGAGGGGCCCCACCTGTAACCTGGGCTAACTCGGGCCCGAGGACCCACTGGAGGCCTGGCTGACTGGCGGTGGAGGGACAGGAAGAACTGCCTCTCTTGAACCACCAGTCTGTTGAGTTCCCCCAAGGCCACCTCCGTCCTGCCCCTCACCCCCTTGGTCAGCAGGGTGGGCATTCGGGGCCTGACCTCATCAGTGGGTGTTCAGCCAATTGCACGTCCATAGCCATTGTATGGTTTCTAACGGGATAAAGATCAGCATGCTGACTAGTGGTGTTGAAGATGGATAACAGGAACTCTCATAGAACGGTGGTGGGAGTGTAAACGGGAACAGACGCTTTAGGGGAAAAAATTGGCAATATTTTGTAAACTTGAACATTTGCATGCCGTATCACCCAGCAATTTCCCTCCCAGATGTAAGAGAAACTCTTGCAGATGTGCAACAGGAGGTACTTAGAAGAATATTCATTCTAACAGTGTTCAAAGTACCCCAAACCTGGTGACAACCCAAATGTCCTATGGCAGAACAGATAAATAAGCTATGGTACATTCAGACAACGGAACATTTTATTGCCATGACAATATATGAACCACAGCTACACACAACAACATGCATGAATCTTATAAAAATAATGCTAAGTCAAGGAAAGCGGGTTCCGGAAGACCACATGACATGAGGTCATTTCCAAAAATAAAAGTTCAAAAGCAAGCACAATTATCACAAACGTGATAAAACAACAACAGCAAAAAGCAAGGAAATGCTAACCGCAAAGTTCAGACAGTGGTTGTTTCTGAGGGCGGGTGGGGAGGGGAGGTGAGTGGGAGATGTGTTAGTGGTGATATTCTAGTTCCTGGTGTGGGCGGTGAATTTACTGGTGTTCTTTATATTACTAAACAAACTAATTAAATGAAATGGATGAAAGATGATAGATGTCAAAACGAAAAATTGTGATTAATCTAAATGTAGGGACCTGAATATACATAGTCAAAGTGCTGGGGGTGGGTTTGGGACAGAAAATCAGTGCATTCTGAGAATTAACCCTTGGAGTCACAGAATCCGCAAGGGACCCCGGAGGTTCCCCAGTGCCAGCATTCGTCAGGTTCCTTGTCTGAGATCAAGGAAGAGGAGAGGCTTGCTGAGGTCACATAGCAAAGGACCAGAGCCCAGGCATTCTGACTCACAGGCTCTTGACATTTTCTCTAAAAACAATTGGCACAGCCTTCTTTTATGAAAGTTTTGGACATCCTTGATGCTGGGGGCTGGGCTCTAGAGTGCTTAGATGCTGTAAGCTTGAGAACGGGGCATTGGGAGCCCCAGATCCACCTGCCTACAAGAAAGGGTGCTCTTTAGAACAGAGACTTGCAAATACTTTTGACTGTGATGATGGTAAGAAATTCATTTTTACATCATGACCCAATTCACAAACATGTGTACGTGTATGTTTGTGTGTGTCTGTGAAACTTACAAGAATATAAAGCAATATAAAGAATATAAAGCAATAATTACTCATATCACATGTGATGCACGCTGATATTTTATCCTATTTTTTGTTTTCATTCTGTAAATGTTAGACATGACCCATTAAACTGGTTTAATAAGCCACCAGCAGGTCACAGCCCTCAGCTGCCGTAGAGAGGTCAGCAGGGACTCTAGCAGGCCAGGCCTGCCTTTTCCAGAGAGGGGCAGGTGGGAGCCCCCCACAGTCTATCCTGTCCTGCCCTTGCTCTCTCTTCCCAGCCCCCAGCCAGCCAGGCAGAGGGGTGTGAAGGCTCCCACCAATCCAGCCACAGAACTTCCCTTTCCGTCTAGGCCCCTCTGGGCCTTCTAGTGTCCATCTCCTCCCCTGAGAGGTCCCTGGACTCACCGAGGAAACTGCTCGCTATAGCGTGTGGGCGAAAAGCCCTGCTGGCCTGGCAGGGAGGAGCAAGGGGACAAATCCTGAAGGGAGGCCCATTGGTTCTGTGGGTAAGGCTGCTGCTTTGTGACAGCATGAGCCCGGTGGTTGCTAGGTTACCCGACCCACAACTCCAGGACCACTCCCAAGCACCCCTGTCCCGCACCCACACTGTCTCCTCTTGCACCTCCTGGAGGGGCAGACAGGGGTGCCTAGGACCTTCTCTCTCTCCAGGCTTCCCCTCCACCTCCCATCCAGTGCTTTCAGTGGGGACCAAGGGGGAGAAAAAAGAGTCGGGGGCTGGTTTCAGCCAGCAGCAGAGGCAGAGAGAGTCTGGCAAAGGATGTTGGTCAGGTTCGGTCCCAGCCGTCAGCCCCACCCAGCCTGAAGCCGCCACACCAGATCTGCCTCTGTGCATCCTGCTTCTGGGCATTAATTCTCAGGGGTTATGTCTTAGAGAGGGCAAGACAGCCCACGTGACCCAGAGGCTCTCTCCAGCCCCAATCTCAGCAGGATGGCTGGGTGGGAAGGTTCTGGCTTTTCAGCTGGACAGGGATTCAAATCAGATTCTGACACTCCATAGATGTGCCACCTGGGGTAAGTCACCTATACTGCCACAGATGCAAAAGAGTGGTGAGAATCCTTGGTTCAAATCCCCTTTCTGCTACTTCCTAGCTGTGTGGCCCTGGACAATTCCCTGACCCCTCTGAGCCTTCATTCCCAACCCTCTGAAATGCAGATGATGCTCACACTTATTCTCTCAGGATTGTGGGAAATATTAAGGGAGTTAACACATATTAAAGCACTTAGAACTGTGCCTGGCACCACGTATGATCTTCTTCTATTAGTGCCTCCCCTGGGTCTGTAAAATGGGGTACCCTTGCCTACATCTGGGGTTATTCTGAAGGACAAACAAGCTAGTGGAAGTGAAGCACCTGGTCATATGTCTGGCACACAAGAGATGCTCTGAAAGGGTGATAATAATAATTGTTATTATTGGTAACTTGACAGAGGTAGGATTATGCAGTGGGATGAGTCCTTCGTCTGAGAATGATCTTGGGTATTCCCTTTAGTGCCCTGAGGCTCAACTTGGACATCTGCAAAGTAGGATGGTCCTTGGCCCACAGGGCTGTAAAGAGATCAGAGACCGGGAGGGGTGTAGACAGGCCCCGTAAACTGCGGAAGGACTGCAGATGGTGCTCGCGGCTGTCCTCAGAATGAGGTCGTGGGCCCTCGAAACCCGTGGGGTAGGCCTATTCCAGGATCTTTGTCCTCAGTACCCCTGGCTTCATACTGGTGCCCTGAGCCTTCTAGACTGTGTCTTCCCTCTAGGGAGCAAGAAAAGGCAGGTGGGTAGCTGCAGGCAAACCTGAGCCCTTCAGAAGTTCTGCCCCTCCCAGCTGAGGGATGGGGAATAGGGCCACTGCGGTGGCCACTGCAGGGTGGCCTCTGACCCTGGCCTGCTCCAAATGCCTCTCCATCCACACCGGGCAGAACGTTCCCTGTCTGAGGTCTGGCTTCTTCTGGGCCTGTCTCTGCAGGAACCAGGTGACCCCTTTGAAATCATTCTGAAAACCCCCTTTTCCGTGCTTCTGGGCGTCCTGCTGACTATTAAGATAGATGATACTGTGTTTGGAAGAAGAGAGGACTCTCTTCCCTCATGACAGGCCCCTCCTGCTGCTTTCAACACTCTTGGGGGACTTCCCACTGTGCGAGCTGACACAGCTGAGAGGAAAAACCCACTCTCGCCCTCCCCACTGGTGCCTTGCAATGCCTCCATTGTATACTCCAGAGCTGATCACGAGAGTCCGCCTGCGGATTGCAGCTGGGGGATGAAGGGGCTCCTTAGGAAATGTCTTCAACACTGGTTTGTAAGAGAAGAGCTGAGGAAATCCTTCTGCCTTCTGTCTCTGTGGAGGGTCAAAAATGGGAGAGAGATTTGTCAGCTGGGCATGGTTCGAGGCACAGTCTTCCGCCTACATACCTCAGTTATAAAAGGAGCAATAGAAACCTTTATGGAACACTTCCTATGTGCCAGGCATCGTGCTAACCCCTTTAGATATATTACCAATCTCATTTGATCCACAGAGGAGGAAAGTAAGGATCAGAGAAATCCTTAGTCATATGTGTTGCAAATATATTCTCCCCTCTGTGGCTTGCTCTTCTGTTTATCAATCTTGTCCTTAATAGTTAGTGGCTTTTGTGTCTTTTTTTTTTATTTCAGGATATTATGGGGGTACAGATGTTTAGGTTATGTATGTTGCCCTTGCTCCCGCCCAAGTCCGAGTTTCAAGTGCGTCCATCCCTCAGATGGTGCGCATTGCACTCTTTCTGGATGCCTACACCCGTCCCCTCCTCCCCCTCTTCCCCTCCCCGCTGCCGGATATCCAGTAGCTATTATTCCTATATGTACACTTAGGTGTTGATCAGTTAATACCAATTTGATGGTGAGTACATGCGGTGCTTGCTTTTCCATTCTTGGGATACTTCACTTAGTAGAATGAGTTCCAGCTCTATCCAGGAGAATACAAGAGGTGCTATATCACCATTGTTTCTTAAAGCTGAATAGTACTCCATGGTATACATATACCACATTTTATTA